TGTGTACAAGAGTTACTAAGCCTCACTGAGCCCCAGCGTTCTTAGAGGACTAGAGGATCCACAGGATTCCTTTTATTCCTGAAATTCTACATAGCATATGCCAAGGGAAAGAATAAATCTCAAATAAAAATGCTCGTTTTTAAATTATTTGAAAACAAAATAATTACTTTCCCATTTTAAAACATATCCTTAGATTGTTTTGCCTGCAGTCATAGAAAGGCCAGGCCCCCAAACAAAGTCACAGAGAGTAAATGACATCTCTGAAATTGGCATCATAAAATAAAGTAAGCCCCAGTGAGGCTCCAAAATAGCCATCTTAACCTTAGACATGATGTCAATAAATGGACATGATATCTGTGCAAACTGCTGCCGCTGGCTGCCAGGAAAGATGAAGACAACAAAAAGTTCTCTGACTGTAAAGAGAGGACAAGGTAATTGCTAACGAGACGTTGGACAAGGCACAAGGCATCTGTCATGCCCCAGGGGGCCGTATTAGCTCGATTACATTAGTTCCACCTCAGCAGATCACCTCATTTACCATCTAATCAGGCAGAATTAAATATTTTAAATTATCTTTCTCAATCCTGCATGGGATCAGTTGAAAACCCAGGGCTCTAAAAATCTAATTGTAACTGCTTACCAGAAATGTCATCCTCACTTTGAGGATCTGAAATAGAGTTTTTCAGTTTTTTCAGTTTTCCTAAAGTACTGTCCCTTAGCCAGAACTGGACAGACATGCACATGTGCCTAGGCCTGTACATCCTAGGGACTCCCGAGGACACCTGGGATCCTGGCCCTTCTTCAGAATCAAATATGGCCAGAGAGTGAAAGGAGAGCAGTGGTTGTAGAGAAGAGGGGTAGAGGTAGGGTGTAGAGAAAAAGCAGCTGTTAGACCATAGCAAAAGTCAAGACAGCAAAATCTAAATCTAGATTTGGTGTTCTGTGGGCCTAGATAGTGCCTAAGTAAAGAGACAGGAAATAGTCCTCCTCCCAGTAAGAAGCGATGATATGAGGTTGTGGCACCTTGTTCTCCCTCCTGGGACAAAGACTTCTTTTCCTCTCAGCTTCCTACCCCTAAGCCCCGCTCCTTACTGTCCTAGGTGTCAGTGTGGCACCACGCAGGACGCCAGCAGCCCGCTCCTGGCTGCCTCCCTGGAATGCTGCAGCAGTGCTCTCGGAGCCGAACTGCCAGGACTAGACTAGGTCTGCAAGCGGTTTGGCTTGTGTGGTGCTATCTCTTGGCTAGACCTGAAGTTACAAGGTGAGAAAACCATCTGAAGCCAAACTGCACAGCCTAGTGAGTCGGAGCCGTGCCCACTGCCCTCAGTGCCCATTGGTGATGGAGGTGGACAGGAAATGAATAAAACAGGTGTTGTCCATAGCTTGCTGAACATCTTTCTGCCCTTTGTGTGTTGTAAGTTACTGATGTATTGACATGGTCTGTGTGACTAAACTGTTAGTGGCATGTGTCTGTGTGCATGTGGAAGTAGAATGTGCTACAGTGGGACAGGGTTTACAGAGCCGCCCGGCCACTCCCACTCTTCCTCTCCTACTTCCTTCCATTCCTTTAAAATTATAGGAGTGCTCTATACGATAATACAGCCCCTAAAAAAGCTGTGTGATTTGGTGGTAGAGATGGTAGGGTTAGGTGAATTACATCTCTCCTAAAAGATTCTCTAAAACCTGAAAGTTTTATATCCTTTTCCTTCTTTGGTCAAAATAAACCAAAATTGGGAAAAGATCATAGTTATATTTGCTAGATGACTTCCCCATAACTGTTCTGTTCCCAGTTAAGAAAATGTTTTTCCCTACTTCGTCTTCTCTTTAACTTTTAGTTTTAGCATGTGGGATCTTATTGTGTAGATTACTTTTAAGTGAAAATACTTTGCATCAACTACTTGCATTTACTACTTCCCTCAGTAGCCCCAAGGCCAATCTGATTGCCTTCCTTCCTTCTTTTTAAATTATGAAATGTTCTCATTGTACTGATAAGTATAAAGAATAATATCATGAATATCCACTGATCCACCACCCAGCTTTGTTAATTCTTAACATTTTGTTATTTTTGTTTCAGGTAGTTTTTAAGAAATAAAACATTACAAACACAATATGGCCTTTTTGCTTAAAGAGCTTAGTGCTATGAAGATTCAGCCTATATCAGAACCCAGCTTTTAGGACATTTGAACAAAAGAATAGTTTTCTTTTGTAAGAATTTCTCTTGGTCTTTGCCATTCTGCAGTTTTATAGCAATGAGTCCAGATCTGAATTTATTCTTTTTTTTTTTTTAATCCTCACCCGAGGACATTTTTCCATTTGTTGTTGTTGTTGTTGTTGTTCAGATAGAGTGGAAGGGAGAGAGAGAGAGAGTGAGAGAGAGAAACATCGATGTGAAACGGACACATGGAATGGCTGCCTCCCATACGATCCCACCAGGGTCGGGGACAAATCACAACAGATGTACATGCCCTTGACCAGAATCGAACCCGCAACTCATTGCCTGGTCCACAGGCTGACACTCTAACTGCTGAGCCAAACTGGCCAGGGCCTGAATTTATTCTTATTTATACTGCTCATGACTCTGTTATTCCTGAATCTCAGTATTTGTGTTTTTCATCAACTCTGACAAACCTTAACCAACTTATTATTTACCTCTCCCCTATTTTTTTGATCTCTCCTTCTTGAATCCCTACTAGGTATATGTTAGACCTTCTCTTTTCTATTATTCATATCTTTTATTTTTTAATTAATTGGGTTGTCATTGTCTTCTCTCTTTTCTCAAGCCATAAAGAAGAGACTTGGAGAGCTCTGAAGAGTAGTGCAGCAAGCTCCCCAGATGGGCAGAAGTGGGTATATTTCTGAGTTATAGCCTCAGATGTCAGGACTTAGAGGCGCTTGTGTTTACCTGTTGACTTCTCAAACGTGTCTATTCTGTTGGATATTCTGCTAGAGAGAGAAAACGAAATAGGGTATGTTCACAGTCAGGATCCTTATTCTTGAAGCATCCCAGTAGTTCCATGGGTAACAAAGCAAAAGGACCTCTAGACCTGAAAATGGTCCTTTAAGAAATGAAAACGGACCCTGGCCGGTTTGGCTTAGCGGTTAGAGCGTCAGCCTGCGGTCCACAAAGACCTGGGTTCGGTTCCCGCTAAGGGCACGTACCTTGGCTGCAGTTTGTCCCCGACCCTGGTTGGGTCGTGTGGGTGGCAGCCACTCGATGTGTCCCTTTCACATCGATGTTTCTCTCTCTTCCTCTCTCTCCTTCCCGCTCTATCTGAGGAAAAAAAAAAATGGAAAAATGTCCTCGGATGAGGATTAAAAAAAAAAAAAAAAGAAAGAAATTAAAACGACCCTGCTCAGTTTGGCTCGGTGGTTAGAGAGTCGGCCCGCGAACCAGAGAGGCCCGGGTTCGGTTCCCACTAAGGGCATGTGCCTCGGTTGCAGTTTGTCCCCTGCCCCGGTTGGGGTCATGTGAGTGGCAACCACTCCATGTGTCTCTCTCACTTTAATGTTTCTCTCTCTCTCTCTCTTCCTCCCTGTCTCCATCCTGCTCTATCTGAAGATATATGCAAAAATGTCCTCAGTTAAGGATAAAAAAAAAAAGAAATGAAAACGATCCCTATGGGAAACTGTGGCAAAGTGGGGTGAGGAGCTCATTTTTGAACTCATTTATTCAGCACACTTTATTTGAATGTTCTGATTCCAAGCATCAGGCATACCCTGGTATAATAAGACAGTCCCTGGCCACAGAGAGCGCTAAGTCTGGAAGAGCATGCAGCCCACACAGTCAGAGTGCCATGGTGGGGTGCCCCGGAGGTGCTGTGGGAGTGCAGTTGAGGGGCCCACCTGACCTGAGGAGCCCAGGGAACCTGCTTTGAAAGGGCAAGGGAAGGAGGTGAGCTGAAGTGCAAGTCCATTTGGTGAAGGGTCACCCAGGCCCAGGCAGCAGTTCATGAAACAGCACAGAGCCAAGACAGCAGGTCATGTTTGTGCCTTTTCAAGCTGTTCTGTTTGGGGAAAACTTACAGTGCAAGGAAGAGTGGAAAAACCATATGGAATAGGTTGTGGGGGGCTTCATTTGCCTCAACTGGGAATTTACAGTTTCCCCTGAGGGTACTAAAAAGCCATTGAAGAGTTTAAGCAGGGGGTATATTTGATCAGATTTGTACTTTATAAAAAGATTAACATGGCTTTGGTGTGAAGAATAAATTGGAGGTTATAATACAAGAGGCAGGAGGAACTTTCCAGAGACTGTTGCATTGATCTGGTGAGAGATTACTGCAGCCTGGACCAGAGAGGTGGCAACGGGATATTGAAAAATAGGTTGAAGAACTCGTAAGAATTCAGAGGACACAATGGTAGTTCATTTCCTTTTTTAAAAGATGGGGTTAGGGGACCTAAGTAAGATGTTTATTTCATGATCAAAACAAATAGATCATTCTACCAGTCTCAGTGGTTCTCAACATTGTTTTTTGTGAGGTTTTTTTTGACTCACCTAAGAGCTAAGACCTACCCCATTAGAAAGTTCATATCATCAGTGATTCTGCAGATGGCACAGGAAGTAATTTACAAAAAATAAAATAGAATGAAATGATGCTTAGGTGGTTCCTCTGTGCCTTTCCATTGGGCATCCTGCTGCCTCTTTAGGGAATCACCGATCTACGCAACAGAGAAGTGTCTGGAGCAGAAATTTATCCTGCACGTAAAGTAAATAATATTTGAAAGAAACTCTTTTGCAACATAATGCTAGTTCTGGTATGTCACCCTAACACCTGTGCCGTGGACACTAGCGTCCTCCTGGTAGGAGCACAGCCTTCACATAACTACACGTTCTCCCCTAATGAAGTGACAAGTGAGCCAGTATGTGACAAATCTGAGTTGTGTAGACAGAAACACCAAGTATTTGAGCCAAAGCACACACAGTTTGTTGTGAATCATCTACACCAGCTTTCAGCAGTGAGAGTCACAAAACAATTGTTCAGTTCCTTCCTTCATTTTTACAGTGTGGACCTGGCCCAAGACCCAAGAGTGAAGCAGCAACTGTAAGAAAGCAGAACATTATAAATAACCCAGAGAACCCTTTTATAACAGCAACTGCCTGCTGATTTTGTGGCCTAACAGCTTAAGCAAAAAGGATATAAATACAATATTGTGCAATGACTCAAACTTTTGTGCATCAGCAGAAGTGGAACCTGTGGTTGGTGCTAATATTGTCAGATGCCTTTGCTGTTTAATAATCTGATAGTTCTATATTATTTAGAACAATGGTTTTATTTCAAGTGCCTCTCGCTGAAATAAAATAAAAAAAAGCAGCTGTTAGAAGATGAACATTTGGCAGAAAATATTTTAGCAGAATCATTTGTGAGATACTAAATCATATTGGATTAACTGTTTTCTGTCTAGAATAGTGGAGTCACAGAGAAGAAAGATCACTGACCACAGAAGACAAGGCCAGTCTTTTAAACCCAGTGAATCACTAACAGACTTTTTAGTTTTAAGTGCCATTTATTCACCAATATATAAAGTTATTTATATACAAAGCTTCCATTAATATTGCCTGAAGAATAGGCCTTTTTTATTCCAGTTTTAGCTCATACTCAGGATTCTTCTTCTCTTTCATTAATAATGGAATTCTTTAAATTATAGAATAAATTAACCCACCACAGACATTTTGGCCAGAGTGGGGTTAGTATCCAGTTCTGAGTCTCCAGAGGCCATTCTCTGTGGCCAGCCAGACAGAGAGCAGCGAGGTTTGTGGCTGAGCATGGCGCCTGCTGAGCACGTTAGCCCTGCCCCTGGGCCCTGGGCCCACCCCCACCCACCCTCAGGTTGCCAGAGTGGGGCCGAATCCCAGGCTGACAGTAGACCCTCACACGTTCCTAAAGCGGGCCAACCACTGGCCACACTGAGCTACAATGGAGACAAGGTGACATCACGACGTGGCTGCTGGGCACAGCCAGTTTCAGACAAAGCACTTTATGGCAGAACTGCTTCCATGTGGCCATATTGATTCAGGAACATTTTTTACATTAAGTTGTTATAACTTAGGCATACAGTTTTCCTCTTTTCTAAACAATCAAGCAATGTACAAAGCAAAGAGCTTTCCCTTATCGTCAGTTCCTCCTCCTGGAGTGGAGTGGGTGATGGGTAAAGATTTTAAATTTAGAGTTTTCAGAGATGGCTGAGGATTGCTTATAGGGTAAAGCCCAGGCTTGGGCTGAGGGTAGCATGAGGTGCAGAAATGGAGTGAGTTAAGAGATGTCTGTTCTGTGTGTTATTTAGTATATTGAGACAATATGTCTACATTTTTTTTCATCCTCACCCGAGGATATTTTTCCATTTATCTTCAGATAGAATAGGGTAGGAGAGAGAGATGGACGTGAGAGACACATCGATTGGTTGCCTCCTGCACAACCCCGACCAGGGCCAGGGACTGAACTGCAACTGAGGTACATGCCCTTGACCAGAATCAAACCCACAACTCTTTGGTCCAAGGGCCGATGCTCTAACCACTAAGCCAGACCAGCCAGGGCTGCCTACATTTTTTATATGGTCATGTTGATGCAAGTGCTAGCTCAAAACAGCTTTATAAAAATGCCCCATTTCAATACTGGTATGGCTGGCCAGCCCAGAACCCACCAAAACCCAGAAGCTGAGAGTGGACCCTGGGACACTGAGTCAGGGCCCAGATGGATCCAGCAAATGACCTCTGTCAATATAGACCATTGCTGACTTGAACCAGGAGCCATTTGTCTAATAACGGAGCCCGACCAGGCCATGGCGCTGACCTCTGAGGCGGAACACCGCCCGTGCGCATTCATGCGGGTTGGGATGGGAAACACAGGAGCAAGCTGCTGAGTGTTTCTGCCTTTGACTCAATTTTAGATCAAATCAAAGTGATACAGTTATTATGATCATCTGTATTCTTACAAATAATTACTAAATACTTCTGGGTACCAATAATGGAGAATCTGGCAGTTCTGGGATGAAGGTTGGTAGAGTTTTTCTTATTCTTTAGTAGCTGAATTTTAATCAGTATGTTGAAAATTGAAAGACCAGTGTCATTTTTTAATACCACTTACACTCTTTTGGAGCAGTGAAATGCTGCCTTGAACATATATCACACCCCCCACCATTGATTTTGTACTCGACCCCTCATTGACCCCTCTCTGTTTTCATCCATCTAAAATGAAAGAAGGCTTTAGCCCCATAAACCTTATTTCAGATGGAAATGCATAATTCAAGAGAAATACTGATGTCAAAGAAGAGAAGGCACACCAATTTGTGTCAGCAGTTGCTGTAAATTAAAGAGGAGTACAAGGAGAGTTTAATGTAATGTAGATTTGGAAATAAAATTAGAACCAATATTTAGGCAGTCCTCCGCCTCTTTTCCCCTGCTGTGACATGAAGGATCGACTCCCAGCTTAAGTATCTAATGTAGTTCATTTGTCTTTTTTGCTGGAATTTTTTCCCCCGTAAAATGTTGCTTGTTTTACTTTGGCATCCAAAATTAGATCTTTTTACCTTTTCCATACTAATCTCAACAGAATGGGGTAGGAAGATTCAAGGTCTCCCCTTACCTTCCACACCCACCTTGTTTGCACCGTAGAAAGGACCCCTGCCACACCAGTCTGTCTAGTTTGGCTGCTGTAAATAGCTATTAATTCTTCCTTAATACTGATTCTCTCTAATGTGCATGTCACCTCTGTGGTTTCTTTTCTTTTTCTAAAGCTGGAAAACAAAAGGTTGCTAATGAACATCTCATACATGTGCTAAACACTCATGAGAAGAATTCTTAAGCACACATCCAAGGCTGCTTCCCTTCAAAGGAGTTCCGGTGGGAAGCTTCACATTTTGTCCAAACTGCCATTGTTCAGAACTTGCAAGCAGTTCTTCACTTGAATTTCCTTTAGAGCTGGTGTGCTTTATAGTTGCCCACTGTTTTTGCCAATCGTGGAATTCCCTAGCTTAATCCTCAACCTTAATGACTAGACTTGGTTTTAACAGATTCACTCTTTTCAGAAATACATTCCTGAGGATTGTGGTTCTCACAGTGGGCCCTGGACCAGCAACATCAGCATTACCTGGGAATTCATTAGAAACAAATCCTGGGCCCCACCCCAGGTTTAAGGGATCAGAAACTTTGGGGGTGGAGCCCAGCAATCTGCAGTTTAACAAGCCCTCCAGACAATTCTGTAGCACTCTAGTTGGAGAACCACTAATGTAGAAGATGAAATACTGCCTTCATTGAGGATAGTCAAAGATGTGCTACAGGTTTTAAAGGTATACCAAAAAAGAAGTTTCAATATCTTCATGAGCAAAATTGGAGTACATATATATGACCTCTCCAGAGGGCTGCTTGAATAGAGACTGGCCTTCAACAGAGGGGTCCGAGTCCTTCCACCTAGCCATGAACTTGAGCAAGTTCTTATATATGGTTTCTCATATGGAAAATGAAAGACCCGCCCCTACCTACCTCACAGGATTATAATGAGATTCAAAATGAAACACAGCTATAGACAGACATGCTCTGTAAACCAGAAAGTACTATGAAAAGGTAAGTCATGTCCTTCTGCAGACAGGACTCTGGTAGTCTGAGTATTCTGTCGGGGCAGAAGGCCTAGCCAGATCCTCTTTTTGTCTATATAATGACTGATTCATCACCTTGGTGGATGTGCCTCAGATTCTGCCATTTCAGCCCACCAATTTATCTGGTGTTAAGATGGGAAAACCATTGCCTGATTGGTGGCTACAAGGGGCTAGAAAAGTATATCCATTTTCAGACATGCTGTTTTCTATGAAAAGCTTTGTGATGATCATTAAGGACAGACATGTATGTGGGCACTGAAGCTCTCATGCCCAGAACTTGCTATACACCAGCAATGGGTCTGTACTGAAACCACCCACTTCAGTCCTGTGCGAGGGAGTCATGACCTTCAAGAAGGAAGTTAAGTGTCTATTGCCACATATTAACCATTGCAAAGAGGACCAGAAAGAAAATCTATGGTAACAGAGATTTGATTTTGAGTGGTAAACACACAATGTGGTGTACAGATGGTGTATTATAGAATTGTACACTTGAAACCTATATCATTTTATTAACCAATAAATTTAAATTAAAAAAAGAAAAAAGAAAATCCCTCAAGCAAACCAAATCTATAGAAATCAAGATTTACAAGCCAGACCAGTTAATGTGTCTGTGCTTGAGAAGAATGTGGGTGGATTGCACCTTAAAGGTTAGCCTTTACAAACAACTTCACCGTAGGAATTCTTAAACAGCAAGCTCCTGCTGCATTTATCATTTAACTTAAAAACTTTATAAAGTACTCAGTGAACATATCTCCGCAGGAAGGAAGCTAAATCCTGTTGCCTTAGTGCTTATTGGGAATGCAATTTTAGTAACAAAACAGTTCCCACCGGGCCAACATCAACTTCACTTTTCACAAAAAGTGCCAGCTAAAATAAAGAATTAGGTGTGAATCTAACTGGTTAATTATGATTAAATGATTGGCTAATTATGGAAAAATAATCTATTGGTTAATTATGGAATTGACTATGGAATGATTTTGCTCAAAAATGTGTGCCTATTTAACAAATGTATTGAGACAGAAAGTAGATCAGTGGTTCCTAGGCCTGGGGGTAGAAGGAAGCAATGAGGAGTGACTGTTAATAGAGACAAGATTTCTTTTGGAGGGGGATAAAAATTTCTAAAATTAGACTGTATGATGCTTGTTCAACCCTGTGAATGTAGTAAAGAACACTGAATTATATACTTTAGGCAGATTATGTGGTATATGAATTATATCTCAATAAAGCTTTATTTTATTTTATTTTATTTTATTTTATTTTATTTTATTTTATTTTATTTTATTTTTTTAAAGAAACCTGAATACTGTTGCTGTATAGAGAGTCCCCTTCATGCATCTTTTTGTTTTCTTTATTGATTTTAGTGAGAGAGGAAGGCAGAGGGAGAGAGAGAGAAAAAACAATGAGAGAGAACATTGATTGGCCGCCGCCTGCATGCCCCTCATTGGGGATTTGGCCCACAACCTGGGCATGTGCCCTGACTGGGAATCAAACTGGCAACCTCTTGGTTCATGGGTCAACGCTCAACCACTGAGCCACACCAGCTGGGCAATAAAGTTTTTTTGTTTTTTTTATCCTCACCCGAGGACATTTTTCGATATTTTGTTCAGATAGAGGGAGAGGGAGAGAGAGAGAGAGAAACATCGATGTGAAAGCGACACATCGAGTGGCTGCCACCCGCACGACCAACCAGGGCTGGGGACAAACTGCAACCGAGGCACGCGCCCTTAGCGGGAACCAAACCCAGATCTCTCAGGACCGCAGGCCGACGCTCTAACTGCTGAGCCAAACCGGCCAGGGCTAAAGTTGTTTTTTAATCAAATAGCTAATAAACTGTAGAGCCAAGGAAAACATTATGCCTACTTAAAAAACAGAAGTAAAAAGCACATCGAAACCTTGCTGCATGCAGTTTCATACTTGGTTAATAGGAAATAGTGATCATTTGAAATATAAGGCAGAAAATATTCACTCTTTCTTTTAATCATAACAGTATTTAAAAAGAGACAGTCTCAGCCTAATAATATATTAAAGTGGCTAGTGGTCCTTCCTTCCTTTAGTCCTCCCTCCCACCCTTCCTTCCTTTAGTCCTCCCTCCCACCCTTCCTTCCTTTAGTCCTCCCTCCCTCCCTCCCTCCCTCCCCTCCCCTC